TTCAAAATGTTTTTGACCAGTCCTCAAGGGTCTTAAGTCTTGTATTTCCAAGAAATTGAATTTTTCATGAACATCGCCATATTTTAGGGTACCATATCACCTTAATTAATCTCTCTGTTAACTGTTGTTTCTGACGCATGACCTAGTGGCGATATATATACTGTATTACGATTCTATTTCATTACGATATTTTGTATCGCAAAATTTAGATAATTTTTGAGTATTGCTAAAAAATAATTAAGTACAATCAATAAAAATTGAGCGTTGAGTAAATAAATCAGGCACCGTAGCTGATTATTTTCTCTATGGAATTTACAGCGGTCAATCTCTGTGAGGATCCGGTCGACTGTGATGTATCATTCAAACCACTGGGTTGCTTTAAAGATAATCAACATAAGCGAGCACTTCCGTATTACATCTACAATGAACGAGACAAATCCATCGCTAATTACGGCGGGCAAATGATCAACTGGAACGATTGGGAAAACTATCTCCCTGGCTTTATCTGCCGCTGTGCCAAGAAAGCGAAAGAGCACGGTTATGACTTGTTCGGAGTACAATTCTTTGGTAAACGTTTCTTCATCATACATTTTCTTCACTTATGTTTTGTTTAGTGTATTTTTTGTGAGGTATAGTGAAACTTCTACCCTTGTTTTCCGATCATGTGCAACATCAGCAACGTAAACCGAGTTATGTTAACTTGTTTTACTTTGCAACCTTTTATTTCACAAACTATAAATTTGTCGAAAACGTTTAAAACTTAAATCTTGATTTTGTGTCCGTCACTGGCTATGGAAAGATTACATGTTCTCTCTTTCTAGTTCAGGTTGGGCTGTTAATCTGTTTCTTGGCTTTGCCACCGCTTCGTTGGATGCCTGTTAAGCGAAAACTATTTTAAAAAACTTTAAGATATTACGACTAAACCGTCCGACTCCATTGTCTTCTTTTGCAGGCGAATGCCATGCCGGGATTAGCTCGTCACATCATTATGACAGGCATGGCCAAGGGCGTTGCAAAGATTGCATTGGAACCGATAAGAACGATTGCAACGAGCGAAAATTTTGTGCAGGAAAGGCATGGCGTAATATGGTTTACAGGATTGTTGGTAGGTACAGTGTAGAGCAGGGAATAGTACAGACAAAATTAATGTCCAGTTGAATACAATGAACAGACCAATAAAGGACGGATGAACACACTGAACGGACGGACGGACGGATGGGTGATTGACACAATTTGTAAGGTTACGTACAGCTAACGTGTGCGTATCTAATTATGATTCATTTAGATTTCTGCAGTGTCAGATTTGAGCGTATTGGCTGCTTTAACGATAAGAAGGACTCACCGCGTCTTCTGCCATCATACCTGTTGAACGACAGAGATAAACAGCTACAGAGTTTCAGCGGTCAGTTGATAGACTGGGAAAACTGGTACGAGCATCTGCCAAATTTCGTCTGCCGCTGTGCGAAAAGAGCGCTTGAAAAGGGCTGGAGACTGTTTGGAATTCAGTTCTGGGGTGAGAATTATATATTCACAGCAGGTTATAGGACCGCAAAAAATCTATATTTTACCCTTGGACGATCTGAAATCCCTGGCAGCTGTTGATTCGCCCATAATTACCCCTACTCTGGTCTCTGATCGACTTGGTAGTTTCTTCAGTTTTCACTTCTTTGTTAAGCCATCTGGGAGAATTGGATCTCCGTGTTACCAAACCAAAAGATTGCAAAAAAAAAAAAAAAAAAAAAACCCTTCCATCTCGTAAAACAGTAAAAATGCTCTTGGCTCTGTACAAGGGAGATCATATATTTTGTTCATTTTATTCAGGTGAATGCTGGAGTGGTCCTGATGACTCCGCCTTCTATCTTGAAGGGCATGCGCCGCTTGAGGGATGCGCAGACCAGTGTATTAACGACTGCGCCTACTCAACTAGGTTCTGTGCTGGAAAGAACTTCACCAACGCTGTATACGCTATCAGTAAGCATTATGAAGTAGCTAGGCTGTAGGAAAAACTGTAGGAAAAACTGAAATCATAATTGGATTGTATACCAAAATGTCATATTTCGCATCCTATCACAGAAAGGGAATGAGTTTTGTTGCAATTGTGGCCAGAGAATCCCGTCAAACGTTCATTTCCTCGAGCAAGAACTCAAAATTACAGTGAACAGAAACCCAGACTGGATCCCCAAGAAGGTTAATTCTACAAAATCAAATCTGATTCCGCTTACTGTTTGCTCCTGTTTTTTGTTGATGGTGGAGCTCTGTTTTTCTATAAAACCTAGTACTGATATATTCTGTACTAACCTGACAAGTGATTCTCATTTACTAAACGCTGGATTGCTGTCTTTTCCTAGGAGAAGAGGTTAACGAGGGAAGTGCGATGCCAGACTATGTGAATATCATTGAGTAACGAAGTTACAAAGGGATTTCCCCTCCAACCAAAACCACAGGAATACCAATATAAGAATAGTCTTTAGTGTTGTAGTAAACAATGCTTGTTGAATTGGAATATTAAAAATAAATGCTACGCACAATATTTGTGACTGTCTTCCATTCATTGTTGTCTCTCGTGCGACATGCATACACTGTAATGAAATGGGCTATTCAAAACAATTAATTTAAATCAGTTAATTAATTCAACTTGTTGCCTCAATTAGTTGAGTCGATGATGTAATGAATCAGTGAATATTACAACGCTGAAAATTGAAAAAACATAGATATATATATCCCAGTGTGACACCACGCCGCTGAAATTAATTATGCAGGGTCTTGTCCGTTGACCGGCCTCAATAAATCATCTGTTGATGTAAGGCCCATATTTTAAAGTCCTATCTCTGCCGCCGTGATGATCAAACGTAAAGTCTCATTTGACTGAATCCAGTAACTTCTTCAGCCATATTTTATTTAATGGCGAAAAACTATTGCAGCGTGCGTACAGTCTCCTAACTAGAGCTACCGAATACAAGGAAAAAGATGGCTCCTTACGCTTTCATTTTCAGTCAGCTTCACTCCTATTGGTATTTTTATATTCATTTGGTAGATAACCCGACTGAGACAAAAATAAATGCATGTGTATTGTTACAAAATGATAAGTGAATGAAAAACATAATTGTGCAGTTTGGTTGTGAAATCAGACTTTAAGACAAATTTTAAAAACAACAAATGAAATTTTTCTTGCCGAATATCACGGAACAGCGTAAATTTTAAATCGACTATTTTTCAAGCCAGTAGTGTATTGAAAGCGTTCAGTTATGATTTCTGGAGATTTTATTATTGCCAATGCGAAGCTTATTTAAGCCGATGTTTCTGATAAAAGACGAACCTTGTCTTAATTGCATAAAGCTTAACAAGTAGGGTATGACAGCATGGTTAGTTAAAAATTCCCGATTACTGGCAGCAAATTTAAAATAGTTTACAAAAACAAATTTGCTAGTCAAGTAAACTTGCGTTAAGACATCACATTTCATTTCATGGCTGGTGTTTCAATAATATCAAATGACAAGAACGATAAGTGAAACCAATTAAACCAGCTGTATTTTAGCATGTGTAACACGAAACATAATATGCCGATTCTTTGCCTGAGTAAAATGGGAGCGAAAATATCTGTCAGTTTGCCCGTATGGTAACTAAAGAAGCCATCTTGTTTTCTGAAAACCTTTCAAAGAATATCACAACTGCTCACACGAAGAAGCTGATAATGTTTAAAAGGGGTAAAATCCTAAAAAGGGCGTGGCTTGGATACTTTCAATTTTAACGGAACACCATGATTAAATGTTTTCTCGAAGGCTATGCACATTTCTCCAGTTTCTTCTCCGCTTCATGAACTTTATTACAAACTAAGGGCTTGCCTAAGATCTCCCTGACTACTGGTATATAACGTACGTTTGTTATGCCACACAACAAAAATTGTGAGTGCGAATATCCTGCATGCACATGGGGCAGTGCGAGGATCCATGAGCATCAACTTGACAGTTGGTGACGTTTGTGTTTTCCAACATTTGAAGGTGACGAATTAAATTTATAAGTAATGTGCAATAATCTCACACACGCATGTCACTGAATGTTTACTCTGTTGAACTCTTGAGTTTCTGCCAATATTTCTGTACCATTTCCGTCCAAAACTCCCCGACTACAGACAGAATATGCAACAGTTTCGGACATTATATTTAACACAAAGACGCGCGAATGCTGTTCAGAAATACGAATTATATTGGACGCTGTTTGAAGCTTCTCGCGAATCCCGCCGGTGACGTCATGATGAAGGTTTGATGTCGCTATGGTAACATTCATTTGTCCATCTGATTTAACGTACACTTTTCGAAGCAACACTGAATCTAGGAGAGGAGAGATAAATTGTGATTGTGAAATGCAAACTGACCACAAACGTAATAATTACTAACAATAACACATTAATTCATCTTAATACAGTCAAACGTCCGACCAAATTAGCGTTCCACGTGAACTGCAGCAAAACTTCATCAATGAACAAGGCACTGACCTTCTTTTTCAGGGGGTTTGTCATATATTCCATCAACATCTGTCAAAAATACAACTCTTTTTGGACGAAGCTCTTCTGCTAACCTCTAAAGAATAAAGAAAAAAATGACTATTATTGTTGAAATATAATAAACAATTCAGTTTGATGTGTCACTCTAACTGGTCGCCGCTACAAATAGTAGCGAGGAATGTATTGTTAAATATTTCAGAAGAATTGAGGTAGAGTTGATCGGAAGACAGTGATAGTTGATTGATCCAATCAAAGACCGGGAGGTTGAAATCGCCAACAAGAAAGATTTTTTCTGCATTAAAGTTGCTAATCTGTGAAAGAGAATATGCTAAATAACGAACTCCATGTAAAGAACACGGATTCTGCTCTTTGTCCAACATTAGGACTTTGTAGCAGACAGATACTTTTTCTGAAGGATCTCCGCTATGCATTTGATCCTTGAAACTTCTGGAAGCACATAAGATGTTCACTACAATATAAGTAGACATGCATCTCAGCTCCGTCAATGCCTTTCACTATGACAGTAATTGACGGGCATACTTAAGTCGCTGGAGTCTTGAACGATGTTATTACTAACAGTATTTTATGTCTGGCAACAACAACTATTACAGCAAAATAAATATAGCCTTTCAAGCAACCATATTTCTTAAATGGTTATCACGAGTAATGTTTGATGGTTTTTTTTTTTCAATAAGAACCTGCCTGCTTCTATTAAACAACAACAAACACCCTGCACCATATACTCTTGAGCTTGTAGTATTAAAATAAAGAGATTTGTCAAATAGAACTGTACACTGTATGGACAGGAGCAACTCAGTTTCCTTGTTATGGGGCTGTAGGTGTTAAAATCATTCAGCTTGTAGCAGCTCAATGTACCTGAATAATTTTGTCTCCACTTAGTATAGAGCAGCCCTGAACATCATCCAGTACACAGTCACCATGCAAAATTGGTACAAATCCAGCTTCCAATAGCTCAACAATTGGAGTTACCGCTGACCTGGTGACCACACCACTACTTGTTAACCAGGATCCACAGGGCTACACATAAAAGTTTGTAAATATTACCAAAATGTGAAAGGTAAAATTAAAATAAAATTCATTTCTCAGTCCAATGGATCATTTGCAGAAGCCTAACATTTAGAGCAATTTTAGCACTGTAAGCTCATTTATTATATTACTTAGTTACTACACCGCTTTGATTGGTCAATTTATCTGTACTGTACAGCCTGCTAAAATTTAAAGCTGTCTTATTGTCAAAATGTTTCGTGATATATCACTAA